GACCCCTGTGAAAGGGTCGTTCAACTGCTAAAGGGGTGGAGACCCACAGGTTGAGAACCCCTGAGCTAGGGGCTGACTCACCGGCAGGATAAGATAATGCTTGATTTTCTGCAGATGGCACAGCGACAGGACAAAGCCCTGCGGGTTCCGCTGGCTGTCCCGCACCAGGAACAGTCTGCCAGGAGACAGGGCCACGTCAGCCGAGGACACCGGGCCGCTGCCTTCACTCGGGGTCTCCCTTACCCCTGGGCCTGCTGCCCTGCCCAGCCCTGCCCTTACCCGTCAACCAGGCCTTGCTGGGAGATGAGCCGCTGGCTGTCCTCGCGGGAAATCCGTCCATGGAACCAGGGTTGGGTTCGGTGGATGGCTGGGGTGAGAGGCAGACAGGTGGGCAGTCACTCTGAGGGGATCCTCCTACTAACCACCGCCCCCCATGAGTGCGCAGAGACGCCCCAGCCCCAGGGAGGCTGCGCCCGCACCCACCTGCACTGAGGCTGGTGCTGGAACATGGGGTGGGCAGGCTGAAACGGTGGTTCGTCTTCTTCTGCAGAACAAAGGGGACACAAGGGTCGGGGTGGCAGGGCCTGGCTGGGGTATCGCCCACCCCGAAGAATGTAGAGCCCCTTTCTACACCTGGGGGCCTCCCCCTCCATGGAAACCCATATGGAGAGACGTTCCCCGGGACCAACATGCAGGTGAGTGCAGGCGCCTCACCCGCCAGGCGTGGGCTTCCTCCAGGGCGACACTCAGAGCCTCCTGGGGGTTCTCGATGATGCGCCCCGTGTGGCCAGAGAAGTCCATCGCCACCAGGGTGTTGTCCGAGACACTCCTCTGCGCGTGGGACAGAACAGGAGGGGAGCGGTCAGAACAGGACCCCAGTGTCCCCGGAACGGGGTCTGGGTACCCACCCCAACTCACGCCCCTGTGTACACTCACCAGGGGTGGGGACCCCACACAGGACGGGCGCAGGTAGCGAGACTGTGCCTGCTGGTAATTCTTATACAGCTGCACCCCATACTGCGGTGTGGAGAGAGAAAGAGGGCCCGAGGTCAAGCAGGTGCCAGGGTGCGGGCCTTGACACCCCCCAGACAGGCCCCCCCAGGAGCAGGGCTGTGTCTGCCCCGGGACCAGGAGTGTGCTGAAGCCACAGCTGAGACTCCAGCCTTGGACCCGGGATCCGAGAGCAGAATGACGCCCCTCTTTCTGGAGACCTCCTGCGGCAGAGCTATCACTCCTCCCTTGTGCTGAGGGTCCCAAGCGGGGGGCCAGCCCCCATGCTGCTCCCAGGGCCTCACCTTGAAGAGGCGGAAGGCAGATAACCAGCAGGTGCGGCTCTGCTCGTCCTCACTGCAGAAGATGCACAGCCCCTTGTGGCCATTGCGAAGCTTGTTGGGCTGCGGGGAGGAAGCTGGCTGATTCATTATCCGCCTTTAGGTCCTGACCTCCGATTCCTGTCTCCTGTCTCCGTGGGGCAGGGGCAGGGGCAGGGGCAGGCGCAGGGAGAGGAGCCTGGGTGTCCCAGACAGAACTCAGAAGCCCCAGGTAGGAGCCCGGGGGGCTGAGCGGTTCCCACTCTCTCCCAGGCCAGGCCCGGGCCCTCACCTTGATACAGAAGCCGAAGTCCGTGGGCATCCCGTACAGCTTGCGGCCCTGAGTCACCACATACGCATTGGACTCGTTTACATCTGCTAAGTACTGCAGGTGCCGCGGATCCTGCTCACACAGGCGAGAAGGGCTTGGTACAGGCAGGCGCTATCCCCCAGTTACTGCCCAACCAAGCCAGCTGAGGAGATATAAGGGCGGGGGTGGAGGGGCGGGGGGGGGCGGAGAAGTGCCCCAGCTCACACAGCAAATCGAAATAGAGGCAGGACTCGAACTCAGTCCCCCTGCCTTCCCCACTGCTACCTCCTGGGGCAGGTAAGCTGGGCAGGAGGGAGGAGCAGCCGAGGGTCTCAGGGCCCAAGGGGAGAAAGGTCCAGTTCCAACGGGAAGAGGCGACACCAGGCAGGGCCCGGAGGGGGTTTCGGAGGGGCTGGGACTGTCACCTTGGAGGTGCCCTTGGTGGAGTAATAGAGGCCAGAGCGGCGCAGGAAGCAGAAGAAGCGCTTCCAAAGCTTCCGTCCTGAGCCCCGCAGCTGCAGGAAGCCCTGGATCTCCGGGAAGCTGCCCGCATTCAGGAAGTTCTGCGGCCAGAGGAGAGCAAGAGGGTGAGAGGCCGCCCCAGCCGGTGTGGCTCCGTGGATAGAGCGTCGGCCTGCAGGCTGAAGGATCCCAGGTTCGATTCCAGTCAAGGGCACAAGCCCGGGTTGCTGGATCCCCAGTAGGGGGCGTGCAGGAGGCAGCGATCAATGATTCTCTCTCGTCATGGATGTTTCTATGTCTCTCTCCCTCTCCCTTCTCTGAAATCAATACAAATAAATCAAATAAAAATATATTAAAAGAAAAAAGAGGGTGAGAGGCCTAGAGGGGGCCACACACTCACACAGAAAACACGCAGCACGCAGGCCCTGCCCCTTCCCAGGACCTGCCCTGACGAAAGGAGCTGCTCCACATGCATTTATTGCCCCCGTTTAACAGATGAAGAAACGAATGCTCTCGCAGGGAACAGACACGTCCCCTCGGTTCTCTCCACCCCACGGGGGGAGGCACAGGCTTCAGGGCGAGAAGCAGCGGGAGCCGGGGGAACCGGGGGAGCCGGGGGAACCGTGACGATGTGAGTTCCCTCACCTGGATGAGGTCTTCGTGCGATAGGCCCGTCGGTGCATCCAGGCAGCTGGAGACCATCTTCTCCGGGAACAGGGAGTGCTGGGCGGACGGGAGTCCGGAGTCAACGACTGAGGGCCCGGGTCAGGGATCAGGGTGCCCCATGGCCCGGAACCCCCCCACCACGCCCCCCACACACACACACTCACTGGGGAGCTCTTGAACAGTTCGTACTTGGCGAAGTTCTTCCGGAAGACAAAGCGGCTGTCTGCGCCGATTGGCCATGCGGCTTGTACTTCCACTACTGACTCGTGGTCCTCCAACACCCGCTCTGGGGTCAAGGGCAAAAAGTAGGGGTCAGGGGAGATCAGCCCAGACCTCAGGGGTGAGCCGTCTGCTTAGCCCCAGGTGTGAGGCACTGCCTCCGGGCCCAGGCAGCCCCTTGCACCCCAACTCACCCAGTGCTAGATGGGGGTGGCACTCCACCAGCCCCCAGTTCTCATCACTGAGGGCGTGAGCTCGCTGCACCAGCATTTCACACACGTAGCGGGCGGTGGCACCTGCCGCCACCTCCACGGACCGGCAGGCCCCGTCTTCGCTATACACTTTCACCACCTGCGCCCCGGGAATTGCAGATGGCTTGAGGAAAAGCGAAGGGTGGTTCTTCCCCGCCCCCCCGCCACCTGCTAGACTCTCAGGGACCCCTGAGCAATGCCCCCGCCTCCAAGTGGTGCTGTCCCCCTCCCAGTCCCACAGCCCTCCCACGGCCCTGCCTCCTCCTCTTTCCCAGGACAACTCACATGGGGGCAGCTGGTGTCTCGGGGGAGCAGCCCCCTTGGACTGGAGAGTCCCCCAGTAATGGGGGTTTGTGAAGGAGGACTGCACAGCTCAGGGAAGGGGTTGGGGATGGAGGGCAGAGAGGTTGTCCGCAGCTCCTCCTCTCGAAGTTTCCTGTGTGGGTTGGGGAAGAGTTGACTTCAAGCTTCTATTGTCTTTCCCAGTGCTGATCGCGCCCCTCCCCCGGCCCTCCTCAGCCCCATCACCCCATTGCACCTGCTGGTCGGGATGGACAAAGGCTGGGACCTCTTCACCTCCCCAGGAAGGGGGGCATCGGGCGGCGGGGGAGTCCCCGGCGGGGTCCCCGGGGCTGGGTACAGGTCTTCTGGGGAGCTGCTGTGATGCGGTGGAGACAGGCCCAGCTCCATGGCATCTGAGGGAGAAGAGGGGTCCGAATGCAGCCTCCCTTGTGCCTGGTCCTGGGGAGAGGGGCCAAGGGGACCCGACCTCCTGACTTCCCACAACGGTCAGGCCCCTCGGAGTTTACCCAGCACCTCACTGCTCTCCCTCTACCT